CTTTGGCTTTTCTGATCTGTAATCATTACTATGATGTTCTAATGGTGTGTTCCAGCCTCCCCCTCCTTCTGTATTTCTTATAGAAGCACTGGGCTGCTTCTAAATTCTCCCATGAGTATACGCTGTTCCTCCTCTCACAGGAGGTACTCGTGATTTTTGTAGCAGCTAGGGCTTGTTGATATTTATGTTAGCATGTGGATTATCATCCTTTATTAGCATGATTCATTTTGTTGTTCAAATTGCCACAGGTGTGGTCATTGGGAGTCACTTTGAATGGCTCTGGTGTCGTTTTGTCATGCCTCCATCACTTTCTAGGCAATCAAGAAATTTTTTGTTTCTGTATTCATGCATGCCTATCACAGATAGACAAAAGGGTGTCTCTCTCTATAATGAGAGGTGAGCATTGCGCTTACCCCAAACCCTTAGCACGGTAACCACTGTAGTTTCTGTGTGCCTTCTTATACCTCTCCCATGCAAGTTACCTTCATGTATGTATTAAGTCTGAAACAACCTGGACACACTGTAGACCAGCAGTTCTCAACCTGTGGGTCATGACCCCTTTAGGGGTCAAACGACCCTTTCACAGGGGTTGCCTGCTTCATAACAGTAGCAAAATGACAGTTATGAAGTAGCAACGACATAATGCTAGGGTTGAGGGGTCACCACCACATGAGGAACTGTCTTAAAGGGTCGCGGCATGAGGAAGGCTGAGAACCGCTGCTGTGGACATTCTGACTGCAGCCTTGGTGGTGCAGTGGGTTATGCATTGGGCTGTAAAGGGGAAGATGAGCAGTTTGAAACCATTCCATACTCCTCGGCAGCAAGATGAGGCTTTCTAATTCTGTAAAGAGTTGTAGTCTTGGAAGCCCGCAGGGGCAGTTCTATATTGACTTAAATGATCACTGTCAATCAGAATTGGCTCGATGGAGTGAGTGGTGTTTCTTTTGTTTGGTACACATCGTTTGATGCGTGCTTTCTCCCCATCAGTATACCGCACCCCTCCCTTCGCTTCGTCCACGTCTTTGTGCATAATTGCCCAGACTGCCTGGTTCTTTGTAGAGATTGACCACAATTTCCTTAACCAGTGCCCTGGTGAACAATTGATCATCTAAATTCTCTCTCCATTATAACTGCCACCTTGCTCTCTCTAAAGGGCACAGGAGTCAGTTCTACTAGCTAATTAGACTAGGCTTTGTGTACACTTATTCCCACAAAATACTCAGTAGGATATTTGGAGAAGGGCTGAGGAAGTCTAACGAGGAAGTCTAGATTTACAAGGAGAATGAACAGTGCAACGATTTAGAATCTTTAGATCCAAGAACATACTTTGGTTTTCTGTCTATGTCAACCATTCTAAATAATGATTTGCTCTCTCCTTTCCTTATATGGACTCTAATGTTTACATTTATGCTTTAACTAAAAGAGAGAGAGAGAGAGAGAGATTCTGTAAGATACATTTCTCCGAGTCAGAATCAATCAAAATGAAAGCCTCTGCCCATCTGATAGGTGTCCCACCCTTGTCACTGGCACGTCTTTAAGGGTGAGTGGCAGTGAGCGTCTCCCCATATGCTTATAACCGTTTATATTTCCCTCTCTGTGGATTGCCGTTTCCTACATTTGCCCATTTTTTCCTATTGAATGATTGATATCTTTCTTGCTGATTTGCAGGAGCTTATTATATATTAAGGAAATTAGCCCTTTTCTGTCATTTGTGTTATAAATATTTTTCCTACTTTGTCATATGCCTTTTGATTTTGTTTATGTTTTTTATCATAGTGAAGTTTTACATTTTTTTATACTTAGATATCTCTATCATTTCTATGGCTTCTGTAACATGCATATGCCTAGATTTTATAGTAGCCTTTCATATTTTCTTCTATTAGTTTTATTTTATTTTATTTTATTTTTGCCTTTAGGTGTTTGTTCATTTTGATTGTATTTTGGTGTAAAAAGCAAGTTAGGGATCAAGTTTCATTCTCAGTCTCCCCTTCCTAGTAGCAAACTAGCTGACAAAACTCCATTATTAATATTTTATTAAATAAGTCATGTTATATTACCTGATTGAAAAGGTACCCTTTGTAATTTACCAAATTGCCATATGGATTTATGTCTATTTAGAGATTCTGTTTTATTCAATTGACATGTCTGCTATTCTTTACACCCATCCCAAACTTTATATCGATGACCATATAATTCAGTGTAATAGCTGGTAAGGTTTATTGTTTTTAATCTTTCAGAATTTTACTCTCTGGTTTTATATTTATTTTTTATGTGATCCGGAGCATTATTTTACAAGTATTCTCTTGTGGGGGATACTCAGCAGACATTTAAGGACAGCAAAGAATCGGATAACTTTATAGATTCGTAGCCAGGACTAGCATTGCTATGACTTTGAGTCTTGACATCCAGGAGCAAAATGGGCCTTTCCATCTGTGTCCTTGTCATTCAAAGCACTGCTTTGCTATTTAAAAAACAGACACAGCTCGCTCCCTTTGTGTGAGTTCTGACTCATCGTGACTCAACAGGACAAAGTAGAGCTGCTCAGTAGGGTTTCCAGGATGGTCACCTGTACAGAAGTAAGTGCCCCGTCTCTCGCCCTCCGGTCAGCAGCAGGCTGCGCAAGCACTTCTCCATTAGGGGTCCTTACCTTGACCGAGATGCACACATAGGGGAAGCGGTTTCAAAAAGTTTATGGGCAAAATGGAATGAAATGATAAGGAAATTGTATTAGTCTAGGTACTTTGGAGAAACAAATCCACAGCAACTCACGTATAAGAGAGAGTTTTATGCAAAGAAAATGTGCATCACGAAAACATCCCAACTCAATGCTGCCCAAGCCCACAAGTCCAACATTAACCCATACCCAACACCAGTCCACAAAGTCCTTCACCTCACAAAACAGAGGCAATAATGCCGACTGCAGGAGGAAAGCTGAGTCAGTGAACGTGTAAGCATCTCAGCACTGGCAGGGGTCTCCACATGGCTGCTCCAGCACCCAGGGCTGCATCGGGATAGATCCATGCGGCTTCTCCTTGGGGATGTCTTGTAGGAAATCCATCTTGCAAGCTGAAGCAGGGAACTGCTAAGGCAGCTGCACCCGATGCAACCATCACAAAACAAGAGACCCGAGAACTAGAAAGGCGAGGCTCACCACCCATTTATTCCTCCGCCTTTCAATTAGCCCCACATGTGATTATCGGCCAGGTTGGCACAATTAACTAACTCAGGAATTTTTTCATGAATCTTTTGAGGTGTCTTATATATATATGCTATATAATTCTATACATATGTGTATATTGGAAGCCCTAGATATATATATCTGCATCTATCTATCCATCTCTCTGGGGTTCAAATACATCTATGATCAAATATATCATATTATCTTTTCACAAACTTCATGAAGCACCCTTTGTGTGTGTGTGGTGTGTGGCTATAGATTTATAAACCCAAACCAAACTCAGTGCCATTGAATCGATTACTTATCCACATGCTACAATTTGTATTTGTATTCAGACTTCTTTCTAGGGATCATCTGTCTTTCTCTCCTGCTCTCTCTTCTTATCGTCTCATTCCCCCTGTTTCTCTGTTCTTTCTCTCATTATAAAACAAACCATTTCTTTCGATTACAGTTTTCTAAATGGTTATTGTTTTTATTCATTTTAAGAATAATTTTCACTTATTGCTCACATGTTCATTTTATCACTGACCAGCTTCATGAATTTTCTTATTTCAAGAAGCTCATAATAAGTATTCTTGTGTGGGATCATATTACTTACCAATAACAATAATTATGTTTCTTGCAACAAACTTCTTGTTAGTTGCCAAATTTAAGACCTCATGTTCCTTTCTTCTTTTTCGTTGCATGGCTAGTAGGCTTGTGGCAAATATTCACCAATGATGGTGACCGTGGACATTGTGTCCCTGCTTTCTGCATGGTTTTAGGGTTCCAGCATTCCTCATCTTCCTGTGTGTTTGGATGTGTTATCTAGAGAGTCCAGTCACCGGGGATAAAACAAAAACCAACCATTATGCTGGTAAAATGCGGTGCAGAGGACGAGAGGAAAACCCTGAAGGCGATGACGAGGCACAGTGCGTACCAGAGGGTGGAACATGGTAGCAACCGTGAGGATGGCGCAGGCCGGGGCACTGGCCCAGGCGGGTGTGCGGCCGCTCGCTAGGAGCTGGAAGTGAGTTGGAGACACCGAACAAGCACAGCAGTGGTGTCATGGAAAGGAATTACATTTCCTGGGACCATTTCATTGTTTTAACCAGGCTGTTTGCATTTATGGAATTTGTAGAGATGATCGAATGTTTGTCTCCATTTGACGTACTAAAATAATACAACATATGAATACCCAAAGTCCACTGCCAGTGAGTGCATTCCAACTGACGGCCACCTGATCTATCATTTCCAAGACTGGAAGTCTTACAGGAGCAGACAGTCTCCGGTTCCTCCCACAGGGTGACTTGTGGGGTTGAACTGCTGACCTGGCAGTTAGCAGCATAACTCCTAAGCCACTGCACCACCAGGGCTCATTGATCTCCTAATATCAAGACGTCTCTCATTTGACAAACCAATCCTCTTTCAACGGCCCTTTGCAGACGCCTGCTTGTGGAAAGATGAACAGGGAGCTTCGTGTTGCTTTCCTCTGCTGCTCGGACGGCCTTGTCGTAGTTTGAGTTTACTGCTCTATCATCTTTAAGACTAGACTGTGTAGGGTTTCCTGTTCTCTTTAAACTCTGGAATCATTAAAATAACATTGGTATCATTTGTATTTTGAAAATTTCCTAGAATTAACCAATAAAACATAGGCTGGTGTGGTTTTGAGATAGCTCTCTGATCTCTCTCTCTCTCATTTTCTCTCTAG